TATTTCATTCTACCTAGCCTTACAAGTTGGTTGAATTCTTGACGAAAACATTTTAAGGTGGCTTGCTATGTGGAATGTTAACCTTAGCTGTTTGGATGACATAACCTCACTTTAAATTCGTGCATGATGATATCTATTAGTTGTGTTTTGTTAAAACATATGAGTGACATACGCTGATTATATAAATGCTACGTACAATAGCACTGTGGATCGCTTTGTATTTCAGGCAGCAAAATTCTTCCGGGATGAGAAGTTGATCGTCTGTTGTCCTGCAAACACTAGTTACTTTAAGAGGATGAACACTTCGAAACCTATCATTTTTGTCCGTCAGAATGCAGGAATTTTACCAATGACTCTCAGATTACATCAGTGCTACTTTTTCAGAGAAGCCTGTCCAGAAAATGGAGTCATTTTTGTCCATTTTCTCTAAGAACTGGACTACAAACACAAGGGAAATGAGCATTGAACCATTCCAGCTTTGTTTTGACAGCTGTCACTGTTATCCGTGCACAGATGACGCCGGAATCCCTAACATCACTAATATTGTCCACTTGACTGAAGTAAAACCTGCTCTTAGTTATCTTATCGGACTGCTAATTTGACCCCAACAAAACCGTTTTTTAAAACTACCAATAATGATTAGCCTATAATTCAGCTTTTCTATAGGCTACGCTTCTCATTGTGTTATTATACGATGAGGCTCTTAAATGGAGATCTCAATTTAAAACGATGCACTTAAAGGTTCCAGAAAGCTAGGTAACCTGATGTATGAAGCTTAATCGAAATCACAGGATCACCCTTGAATGCTACTACTGATGTTTTACCAATTCTTACTTTGACTGGTAAACTGGTTCACTTTAGTCAGTAATCAGTGTCTAAAGTTCTGGTTGCATTCACTGCAAAGAACAAACTGACCTTGAACTGCTCGATTGTCACCCACTGTCATGAAAAAATCAAATTATGTCCTTCGAAAGACTATCAGTATGCTGATGTGTACTACCAATTAGGGCTTTATTAAATAAGGACACATTCAAATTATCACGTTTTTAAAATTGCATATACCTGGCTTTGTGACCATAATTGCCTAGAATATGGGTTTCAGGAATACCTCGGTTCGAAAGACAATATTTAGTACACACGGCATTACGTATTTCATGCGGTATCGTTTGATCATATATATATATATTATATATATGTAGACGGAAAACCCGTTTCGCAGACTTGCAAATGTCTACTGTATCCTGTTTTTTATCAACCAGTAATTTAGAAGCTGTACATGCATGGCTGCCTCTTTGAGATTTGCTATTAGTGAATGTTTAATAACTGAGTTTTCAAATCGCGCGCGACAATGTTTGTTTAAACACTCGCGAAGTTAAGACGTTTAAACAAGTCTTGAATTGTATCTCGAACCACCATGAACTCCATGTAATTGAGTAATTCATTCGTGATCATTTCGCCTGGTGCACGGCTCTACATATGGAGAAAACTCTGGAGGTCAGAGGTGTCTCTCCTCTAAGTTGGAACCCATACTTATTGTCAAGATTACATTTAAATTACTTGTGAGTTTTGTCCTCGCATCGGTTTTTGGCGCGTTTCATGTTGCCGCAATGGTTTTATTCTCCCTGGCCTGTAAAGCTGCCAACTTTTAACACAGTTGTCATAATGAGCGTAAGCATAGTTAACTTAAATTGTGACAAACCCGGATTAGGGTCCGCAGAGACCAAAAACTCAACAGGTAACACGTTTCGAATTGTATTTGTCTCCAGAATTGCCACCTGCGTCAAAAATGTCCGCAAAGAAACCAGATTTCAAATCGCAGCGCAAGAGGACGAGTGAAATCTAGCTCAGCTTAATTTCTATCCGACTCAAGTGGCAGTGGAAGTTTTTGGTGAACAATTGTTAGATATATAGTGGACTATAGGTTCGAGCGTATATGTTGTTTTAGAGCACTACAATCTGGGAGGTTATTCCACCGTATACTGAGGTGCTCTGGGGAGCAATATATTCGCTTACGACTTAACGTTGACGACTACGATAGATTGTCCATCTCACAGTACACTGTGGAAAAATGTAAGAATAGTTCATAGTATTGCAACACGTGGAACAGAATTGTATGACAGAGCAGGCATGTAAGTTTCGGCAAACTTTAGAGTGGTTTCGGATGACACAACCAATAACCTGATAGTAGAGAAAACTATGTCGCAGTTCATAGAGAACCTAAATTCATGGCATAAAGAAAGAATTCAAAATACGTTGAAATTACAACCTCCAAAGTTGAAAGGTTTTAGCTCTACTTTCCTAGCGCCAGATAACATACACCGACAAGTGTTAAAGAAAAAAAGACTCACATTTTTGGGCATACTTTGTCTCTAATTTAATGCAGAAAGCATGTCAGATATTGAATTCACGGCGAAAAGTGGTAGCATCTTGCGTGGTGACGATCCCACAATCTTATTCCACGAATACAGGTGTCTAGTGCTTGGAAGTAGTGTGAAAGACTTCCATAATGAATAGCTGCAGTGCGTCTATTTCCAACAGATAAATTACATTAAAACCTGGCGTAGTGTGTTTCGCCATTGTGTTCCACAAAATTACCTCCGAAGGGTCACTTCAACTTACAATAATAAGAACTATGATATTTGGTGTTCTGTGGCTTTTTGTCCAAGATTCTTGTGGACACAGAGTATTGCAAATCAAATAAACAAATGCTGAATAACTGCTTGGAGTCACTTGCTTGACAGCGGAATCCAAACTGCTAGATTAATCAGCTTTTGTAGACAAAACTGAGGCCGATAGGTCCTGGCTAGTAGAGCTTTACTGAATTCCCGAAATGTGGTTCGATGAAAAATATATGGATGGTTTGTTCGCCACCCACCTTTATGTATGTAAACTTTAACGCTTTCGCGTGGTGTGATAATATTGCAGTTATCTGATTCGAAGTAATACACCTTAGAATATATTCTGTCATGCTCAACCCCGGTTCTGTAATTCGCCAAGCAACATACAGATAAAGGTCGGCTTGAAACACTGTCGCTTTCAGTGCTGGACAAATCAGTGAAATAAGATGATGTACCCTAATTGAAGCAGTGACGAAAGACCCCCTCAGCCCCCCCCCCCACAACTCAAAACCATGTGGTAGCTGCCTCGGAAATACCCTTAAAAGCTAACCATGAATCGCTTATTTGAACACGTCCCAATTTTCTAGTAGGGTCTACTCATTTCGTCTATTTAGGGCGACTGAACGTTGCAAATAATGTTAACGGCCGCCAGAAACGAGACCATGGTGTGAGAAGAGATGTTTAGATACAAATCCATGCTTGGTTGCATGGTAACTGAACTTTATTCATAAAAGAATGTCTGTTATGCATGGAAAAGTCGTGCTTTGCCCAATCCTGTAATTCAGGATCAAATAAAATCAGAACGGGTAGAATGGGTTGAGATGAATGCTCTGCTCACGGGTAATAATGCTGCAAACCAAAAGACCAAGTTGAACCCTGAGCAACATCAAAGCCAGCCGACTTTGCCCAATCCTGTAATTCAGGATCAAGTAAAATCAAAACGGATAAAATGGGTTGAGTTGAATGCTCTGCTCACGGCTATTAATGCTGCAAATCAAAAGACCAAGTTGAACCCTGAGCAACATCAAAGCCAGGGATAAGGTGCACTTTGTAGGCGTACCACCACTCATTGCTTGGTCAGTATTTGGCGGTCACATCTGTGTAAACTGAATTTGAGGCATTTGTTCAGTTTGTCTTCCAAAAGACCTAATTAAAGATTGGATAGATGGTGACACTTGCTTTGACTCATAACGTAGATTGCATCATAAATCTCACCCAGATCAATGGGGGTGGGTTGTCAACATTTGTCTGTCCAAAGTTCATCCAAAGTTCATCCAAAGTCATCTGACTTGCTGTGTCATTGCTCGCCCAAGGAAGAAGCCCTGTGCTGCGTAGTTGTCTATTAGAAAACACCAACTGAACATTTACAGACTGTTGGACAGGAAAGTAGAGCATTCATATGCACCTTGATTTCAAACACTGAGTAACCGTTTCCATATTGACCGGCTCTTCTTGAACTTTCCTGGATATTCATTGACTATCACGGAAGTGCAAACAAAGGCTACACAGCAATCCCGCTAATTCCGTAATAAATCCCACTCCATCAGATCAAGGCGGGTTAACGAGCAACCACAAACTAAATGCATGTCTTATCAGCAGTATCTACCATTACACACCTTTCGCCTTTCAAAGGTCGCTCGTATGCCACTAATTTTCGTTTACCTCCGTTAGGTCGGCTCCAGAGGCTGGTCTATTTGGCCACTCTTGGGTATCCTATACCACTTCCGAAGCTGAGCTCCATCTACTCTCCTCGATCCCCGACGGTCGTGAATTACATAGACGTTCCCTCGGCGGTCAGTAACAAGAAACGGACCTGCTGTCCTATACCACTTCCGAAGCTGAGCTCCACCTACTCTCCCCGATCCCCGACGGTCGTGAATTATATAGACGTTCCCCCGGCGGTCAGTAACAAGAAACGGACCTGCTCATCGATAGCCCTGCTTCCGTAACCCCAGTCCACTGCCTCCGGGATTCTGGTCATCCTTCTACTTGACCACCACGCCTATGGGGAATGGTGGTGCCCTTTTACTTGCCGTTTTCTGCCCAGTCCATTCCTGAACGGTTGATAAGTTCTCTCGAGCTTTCCTCCTTTCCTCGACTAGCTTTTCCGGAGACAAATGTGCTGCCAGACGCACCCCGATTGCCTGATCAGCTGAAAGGCGCAGGTGCGAACGTACATGAGAATGAACGGGGCTTGCCTGTGGTTGGCTGTATGGAAGCATGATGAGCTAGCAACATCATTGGCAGGTTCCGTTCCTAGTCTCCTCTTTTGGCCACCAGCCAGTCGTTGATCGTGTGTTTTTCCCATTTGGTTGGGTAGATTTTCAGCCTTTGCATGACGTTGTTTTGTCACACAAAGAGGTTCATTTTGCCTAAATTTACCTGACGTGCTGGGTAGTTGCTAGCCCCATATTCTTCCTAGACTTGGCCGATTCTTCGAAAACACAGGGAATCTCGCTGGCCATTATTTGTCCTCTACACAAAGCTGGTAGCATTTTGTTCCATATAACGGCATGGATTGCATTGTCGCACAAAAGACGATGTCCCATAACCACTAGCGGGGCCAGAGTAGTTTCAATTTTCATGTCAGTAACAAAGTTGAATATTGGTAGGGGCAGCGAGCTGGCTTGAAACGTTTGACGCGGTGAGCCAATTTGACGGAGCAAGATGGCCATGGTACCTAGTATAAAACCTGAGATTAAGGTGTCTTTCACCCACACTCCGGATCACTCAACATCTGAACTATATTTTTCATTGAAACACCTGTGTGGTTTAGGTAGCGTTGAAGCCAGATTCACACGATCGTGCTTGAAATTGAGACTTTGACTAGTGGGAATGCCACGACACGACGGCCTGCCGCGGATATGCCATAGTGACAGGTAAATGCAGTTTGTATTGCCAAGTCGCTTTGATCTCATTAAACTATATAAACACAGACAACTGATTCCCGGGATACAGGCCGGTGAACTGATTGCACCGAGAGGGCTGCATGCAAATCAGACACGAGCTGCTGGTTACCAGATCCCTGTAGAATGAGCCGCGAGAAAACTGAAATTGTTTCGAGCAACCTAGGGTGCTGGACCACAATCGAACCCAGTGTTTTTTACAACAGCATACGCCAGCGGAAATAAAAAAAAACACATTTTGGCGACAGACGCGTTTTGCCCGTTTTTGACAGAGATTAGGAAATTGAAGGTGACATGATTGTAACAGCTTGGTGTGAATTTTGATTGGTTTACTTTACTGAACGATGATTTTGGCACAAGGCAATCGTTAGGAGGAGAGAGGGAGTTTGTTTGGGCGACTCATTACTAAACGCTTCGAAAAAAGTTGTATAGGGGACCTTTGGTCAGTAATTAAATAATTTTTTTGAGTCAGAGAAGAGTGTTTCGTCTTGTTAACGCGGAATGTTCTTTGGGTTGGACTCCAATCCCCAAGGCTGTCGTTTGTATGCTTTTACTTGGACATTCCCTCACCATTGGCTTAAAATAAAATGCTACACAAAAATACCTTAGTACACCGCACAGTCAGGCTTTGGAAAGTTGAAGCATGAAACATCGATATATGGATTAGTGCAAGAGAATATCTCTAAACTGTGGTTTTGTGAAACAGCGGTCTTTTCATGGAACAGGTTGAAAAGAATATGAGTGCTCTCTTGTTTGAGATAACCTGATGGACTCATTTAAACGGAGCGCTAGCTATGGTGTTTGCGCGGACGTGATATGCAGGTCGATATATATCCGTAACCTTACGCGTCCTCCACATCATTTTCAATTATGAGCGCATAGTAAACAGTTTAGTTACAGAATGCCACTTCAGTTTCCTTGCCTACTACCCATGAACTCCGTTGCTATACTTTCCTACTGGAAACCTCGAATTAAACAAGCTGTAGAATTTGCTGGCTAAACGCGAATCAGTTTGTGTCAACATGGTACCAGAATCATACCAATTCACCATCATACCATTATTTTGCAAATTTCGTCGCTCAATACATCTTCTGATGGTTTTAACGAGTGAGGAGTAAATCGGCTAAACTCTTCATCCTGTCTTGCATTTTCGCCGGATTAAGGCCGCAATTCACTACAAGGCATTGTGGGCATCCGATGCGTTGATATATTAACTACATTTTATTGGATAAATTCTTGTTCCCAAGGAAGCCTTTTTAAAATCAGAATTTAAGCGTCAACACGTAGAAACTCCAGGTCTGTAATTTTTATTGGCCATTAGTAAATTGTCATTGTTTGGCAGAATTTTCGGACGTTCCTTGAAACAGCGGGCCAGCTAAGGAAACTCGGCGTGTGAGAACGCTAATGCGCATACTGACGAAGTAAGGAAATTGAGAACGTGAGAATTTGATCTCACATCGGACGATACTTCTGGAAGATAACGGTATCGAAAACGCCTTAGCTGTCGGACAGCCGTACCGTGGCGACTAAAAAAAACAAGAAACATTACGGGTAACCAAGCCCCCTATTAGCACGGACCTGTCTGGGATACTGGAGAAGCCAATCTGACGTTCTGCCCAGGTCGCTTCACACTGGGTCCTTTGTGCTGTGTACTCACCTCATCCAGAGCTAGGACCTTTTGCCATCCAGAGTAAAACTTTGCTCACGCATTGCGAATTTAACAACCAAGCTTTTTAGGCCATTATTTAATGGCTCATTTTTCTGGGAGACTCCATGCTTTAAGCGGGATTTACCTCTTGCTTTTGATTTAGGTAATGACCTTTCTGGATCACTTTGGTTTCGTCTCATAAATGACCCAAGTATTTTGCCTGGTGTGGCATATCCTTGTTCTCAATTATTATCCGAGATTTGCAAACGAATGGCACTAACTGAAATATATCGCTCGTAGATATTTGGACCGTAATACAGCTATATATATTTAGCAAGATTTTTTGTTCACACCAGAGTAAACATTTTGAGACGTTGCAACTCCACATTTAACTGCGCAACTGCAGAACGGTCTCTAGCAGAGGACAAGGAGCAATTACCACATCGTGCGCTTTCATTTGGATTTGAGATAAATGGGAAACGTAGGTGTCATACCACTGGGTCTTGTCTCTTTCTGATTTGAAGTGGAAAAGCTCACCGTCAAGAGAACAATTTTGATTTTCTTTAGATGATCTGACATGAGCACGAGTTCAAGTAGGCTCAAGAAACACTCTTCACTCCATAATAAAATTTGACAATGGTGACTGGTTAATTTGGCTTGCTTACATTAGAAAATACGGACTTCGTTATACTTTCTCTCTTTAACTTTACTTAGTGTTATTCAGATGTTTTCGGTTTGCTTTGTGCACTTGTCACCCAAAAATTGATACTGCGGCTTCCTGTAGAATGGAAACAACTTCGGGGTTCCCAAAACCCAGCGCCTGAGTCTTGGGGAACGATTCATTTTCTACAATAGTGTGCAACTCTTGAATGCTTTTGGGGTATTTTACCTTTTAAGTTAAAAAGAATAGTGAGGACCAGCTTATTAGCATTAGTTTAGCAAATACATTTTTCTCAGGATCGTTGCTATGGTCTCACCATCTACACCGCGGCTGGCGGCCTAGGCTGAGTGTTGTGCAGTTGATCTATACTGCTAAGTTATCTTCATGTGTTGAGCAGAAATGACTTGCTTTGGTGGTTTACACATCGTAGGGGCTAGATTTTTGGTTAAGACCTTTTATTATGACCGGAATGTTTGCAGTACACTACCCCTAGGACTACCTGTTGTTCAGAATTATTCTTGCATGAATGGCTTTGCTAGGTTTTCTAACGCTTTAGGAAATGTGTACACTCAGCTCAGTCGTTGGAAAACCACCATTAGGGTTGTCAGTGACGAATGATTCCCCTGTATCTGTTTGGTGCAACTTCACACGCAGTTATTTTACTCAAAGTACAATCATTGTTAGTGGTCTCAACAAGCTTGGTCTTAAAGGCTATGTGAATACCAATTGAAGCGATGAGGCTTATTGACACGTTCAGTTATAATAAACACGCATTGATAAATCGACATCCAATATCATTAGTGAAGTTACCTCACTATGATGTGAAGACTTTCTATTAAGGAACTTAGTACATACATACAGTATTATTCTGCATTCTGGAAATCGGAATGCATCGATAGTTTACTCGTCGAAAGATAACATGAACTTTTTCCTTTGCTCTTAGTCAGGAGTAGGTAGGTACCAAGTTATTCACTATTTCAAGCCGTGTCTTCTTAAGGCTCGATGAAACGTCTCTGACTACATTACAGGAGACCTTACTTTTCCGTTCTTAAACAATTAGTATACGAACCCATCCAGCATCAAAATGTAGACTATGTAAAAATGGCAAAGCAACTTTCGGCTGCTGTGTGAAACTTGAATTGTCTTACACAACAGCAAGCTTCCTGAACGTGCTAGCCTACACAGGGTCCCGTAATTTGGCGTCAAATTTTTTTTTTGGTTAGCGCCCACCCGTGGCAGTCCGTGAGTGATGACAGTCCCTACGCTTATCACTCACTCGTTATATGGTGGCTCGGATGTTTACCAATCTTCAATCAGACAATAAGTAGACATAATGAGCTGGTTGACTGGCGACCTTTAGGTTCTCATGTTTGAGAAATTTCCTACTCCACTTTCAATTACGTGATAGCGGTTCAAGACTGTTCGGCCTAACACAATCATCGATAGAAACCCCTTAAATGCCGCTTTAGTGAAAGCAATCCGGTGTTAAATACTTACAGCTGTAAGTGAAGCCAATCTATATTGAAAAGCCGAGAAGCACTGTACAGCTATTTCATCCTTATTGGGAATCATCAGCAGTGCGCATCTCACGAAACTCCGAGGAGTCTCGAACCCGCGACTTCCCGGCTAGTAGTTTGAACACCTAACCGTTCGGCCACGAGTGGCTGACCAGCAATAGCACTTAGACAGGATATAGCGTTGCTCAACCTTCAATCACGGGATCCACATCACGCGGTCGCACGTGTTGACTGGGTCCTCGAGCAGCATAGATTGGCTTCACTTACAGGACGAAATCTCCACAAAAATCCCAAATCCCCTCACACTACCAACTTACAGCTGTTTTGTGATTAAATGCGTAGCTCTAGGAAATAGGGATTACTCTGTGAATAAAGGTATGCCTTCCTCCGGACAAATGTTTGACGTTCACTTGGGTTACTTTGCCTGTCAGGACGTTTTTGCAGGATTAGCTTTAACCACTTATGTAATTTAGATTAAAATGTTTATCAAACTACCACCCCAGCGACACCAAATTCTTTTTTGTGGCATTTGTTTACAAAATATAATCTGGTGGTCATAGGTGATACAGAATTTTCATATTTTTTTACACTCTTGTCGTCAAATTGATTCCCTTTTTAAGTTTCATGACACTTGAACCCTAACATGATACTTGTGTTAATTCAGTGACGAAATGTCACAGAGTATTCAAATGTTTTAAATTCTCAGCAAACTTACGCCTTACGATTTCGGCCGGGGCTGCAAAATGTGATATTATTCTGTATATTCGTTTGATCATTTATAACTCCCGATTGTACAGTAGTTCAAACCAATTAATCTAAACTGACACAAAAATGTTAGGATCAGCCCTTGGCCTGAGTTTTCTCATTTTCCTTAGATTATTTCGGGCTACATTGGTTTGTTTACGCGTTTTGCTGGCTTGTATAATTCCAAAAATCCGATCCGGTTGA